TTGTGTATTGGACATTTGGGCCTAATTCTGACCCATGTAAAATAAGTTTTATTATGAGATACCTCAGATCTGCTAAAACCAGATATATTTGGAAAAATTAATATTTTTGTAGTTCAGTCATACCATTATCTTCTCCATACACCATCTGCAGTACCATCAACTGATCTTGCATTGGCCATTTAAAACTATGTGTACAGCCAATAGTTCAAAGGTCATAGTGTCATGTGATACTAACAAAATGAAAGTTACATAATCTTAAAGGTAATTTCATAAAATCTCCACTAAACAGAGCCTGTTTTTTTCAGACTCTTCTCACGCTGACAACTGCCATATATCCATCAGAGTTTGGAATAGAGGCAGATGTTTTGGACTAGGAGGAACTTAAATAAAGACTTGTTCTGAATCACTTTCGTTTTTGTCCACATCTATTTAAATTCATGCTGTGGATTGGGGGATTCAGTGCGATCAAACGCTGATCAAAAGATAAAAGAAGGGGGCTAAGAGTTTAATCACAATCCTATTTAACCTTATTTCAATGAAAGCCCAGTCTTTATCACCAAGCAAAAGGCATATAATTTTTCATCAAAATCAGATTTACTGGAAGTTACTGATGAGTTTATAGGGAAATGTTACTTGAACTAAAAAGTGTTTGACTGATGGTTAGGGGATGAGAACCAGTGGGGTTTCTATCAATAGGTGGGAGGGCTGAGTAGGGACTATTGGTCAATGGGGGCTCAAACACAATTCTTTACCAACGTAAAATAATAAGAAATTTGTGGGAGATCAAAGCCGTGTCAAGCCTCTAAATAAATGCCAGAAAAAATATGAATTAAAAATTAATGCAAATGGATCTTACTCACATCTACTAATATACTAGACTGAGTGACAATCATCTCCGTTTCATTGCAGGGAATACTGTAAGGGAAGGCTGCCATTATCCCCATTCTCCCATCTTGAAGGCCTATAAAATTCCCTGAGTTGATAGCACCAATTGACTTATTAATACACGATATTGTCCTCTCACATCAACACTCAATTTCTCTCTGAAAAGAAAATATAGGGGAGAATTTATCTTGTAATTATCTAAAGCCACAATATATCCCACTACTACTGACCTCTAGATCTATAGTAATAAATTGGATTTTCATTGGTGATTGGTCATGATTTATATTAAAGGGACTGTCAAATGTTTTTTTATCAGTTTTGGAAAGGGATAAACACAGAGTGTTGAACATAAAGCTTACTTATATTATTTCTAACAGTTTCTATTTGTTACAACATTTACATGTTTAAGATTTCATTAAATTTCCCTCTAATTTTCATTTCTATATTCCAGACATGGTCATCAGAAAATCTTTTTTCAATCTCCTATGTAAACTGAACACAGAACAGCTAGATTGAGTTAAAATGGCACTGTATTCTCAAAGTAAAAAAGTCATTAAACAGTTTATGTATATCCCTACCAGCATTATCTCATCATAACGTCCTTGAGACCGAAGTACTAAATCTCATATTCTCCGTCAAAATACTGTGCAATCAAAATAAGTCTTAGAAATTTCCTAGTATTTCTACCATACCTTGAAGGCATATAGTGGAGGAAGTCAAATTTAGAACAATAATCTATAGAGATTGAAGTTGAATTTCATTCATACTCCACTACAAGAGATATCAACTGTATTAAGTCAGGCTATCACTCTTCAACAAAATAACTGACAGTTGATGGAAACACAACTACAATGAATTATTTCAGAATGTGGCTTTAAGTAGATTGACATTAATAAATATATTCATTATATTTCTGTGTTACGTTCCTGACAATATTTAATTATTGGCCGCCAGATTTTTTATTCATGAGAAGCTTAGAAAGTCTTGTTATACCAGTAGGGAGTGAAACAGACTACCTACACTACTATTATCTAGGGAGAAGTAAATAATGTTTACGTCCAGTATACATCCATATTTCAATGGGATACCAATTTATGTTCCTAAGGATGCTTGCTACCAGCAAGTTCTTGGTTGAATTTCTTTTACAAATTCTTTTTACAACTAAAAGGAGGACAATTTTTATAAGGTTTTAAGTTTGGAGACTCATTTTTACCATTTGATATGTGGCTCATTTTCACGATCTTTTCTGGAAAGTCTGTACAACTTTACTGATTTATTGATGAAAATTGAAATAAAAATCAAGACAAATTTTGGCACCCTGATCACACTTAGAATCAAATAAAATTCATCATGGAAATACATTCAAAATCCAAAAGATTCCAAGTAACACTTCTAAAATATATCATTTAACCATACTAAGTTGGATTGAAAAGCTTTCCTGATCTTTCTTCAAAAATATGGATATCTTATTTTCACTATCCACTAAGAATTACCCCTGTAGTGATAAAATATGGTAGCACAATACACAAAGTTAGGAAAGCATCCCCAAGATTATTTTGAAAATAATCAGCTGTAAATGTGTCCATGAAGAACATCTGTAACTGTATTATTTCTAGGAAAGGATAACCCTGCCCCATGGGAAATAAATCATTTCATTGAGCTTCAAATCCAACATGCCTCCTAACAACACATGCAAATGCTTTTATAATTAATAAAAGAGAGTTTTTGGTATAAAATGCCCAATAGCCTTTATGGTATGAGTTGTAGCAGTTTTCCAAGGGTTTGAAATAAAAGCATTTCTCAAATTTATTACCCCACATAAAAAGTTTATGAACAACTCCTTAAATTTTGACCTATGGATAGAAGTTCTATGGTTAAATGAGGACTCCGTGTCCCTGGCGTAGAGGGCATGTCAAACGAACCTAATGAATTGATTGATCCACCGATAGTATACTGTGAATGTCAAACTAAGATGTTCCAGTTGTTAAAACAAATATTCAATAATGAGAAAAGATCTTCTAATCTTAACCCATGTTGTCTGTGTCACTGACACCAATCTATCTGTCTCAATATCGCTTTATAGTAAAATACTGTAACCTACCTCCATGCTTCCTTCTACAAGTCTTTGTTCTTTGTTTAGTTGCCGGTTGAAGACGAGGAATGCTTTCAGTATCATTAAAGGCCAACTTGACCGTAATGGCTATTTTTAGAATCTTTTCCGATATTAGGCCAAGACAATTTGTATTAATGATTGACTTTGAACGATGCGTCTTCAATTTGATTTTTTTAGCGATCTAAAGGGATAATCGGCATTTGTTTGGACTGTAAATTATTGCATATTTGAGAGATAAGCTACATTTTGCGCTAACTGCAAAATGGGAAGATAACCGCACAAACTGCAAAACGTCGAGAGTTTTTTTTCTAGGTAGAATGCAAACTAATGTCCTGGAACAAAGATATCCATGTTAAGATAGTAATAATAACCCTAGATTGACCTTGAATTTCCCGCCAAATATTTCCACTTTTTATTTCATTTTTAGACCGGGCCATTTTGATTTTTTCAAAATATTTGTGTTAAAACCTTATTTAGGTATCTACAATTGAGTCTTTGTTTCTTTCTACTGCTAACGCAGTGATAAAAGATGTGACAAAATTACGTGCAGTAACATCACTTAATAACATAAGTAGGCGTATTTTATTTGTTTGTAGACGAACAAGGTGCTTTCAGGAGGCTACGTCGGTCTTATGAAATGAATTGGGGTGTGATAAACGAGAAATTCCTCATTCGCTATGACAGCTATAAAAATTATATCAATACAGGAATCTAATAAAGATAATCATTTTAATTAGGTTAATTTCATTAAAGAATTCTCAGACAGCGATCTCTAACCAAGGGATTTGTAACGCCGATCAATATAAAGAAAGATCAAATAGAGACTATAGTATTCTACACAACCTACATTCAAAAAGAATTACTAAACGCTATAACCTGTAGAAACTTGATTATCCTAGCAACTAAGCTGGGTTGGTTTAACATGCCCTGTGGCCCTTACAGTAAATTGCAGTTTCATAATAAACCATACAGTAACAGATTAAGTTAATCTGATTGGTATATCTGTATGAATTATGGATTGTAATGTCGCCGAAATAGCTATGACCGGCGTAATGCGTTGAAAGAATAAAGGGCGATGTGACCGATCAAACACACCGATTTGCCGTAGTAATGTATGTACCTTAGACGTTTTATTGTCATATACCTACCTTTAATCAAGCGACTGATATTGTCAATATTCAACTATTATTCTATAATAAGATTGTGATCAACCTGATTGAAACATGGGGTATATAAACCATAGTTTCATGTTGGTATAGGTTACTCGTCTTGGATTGATCCTCGTTCTTGGTAAATTTGAATACTGGAAACACAAGTGCTGCGACAATAGAATGGATTTTCGTGGATATGTTTCAGATAGGAATCGTCTAGGACTTGAATGAATGCACTAAGAATAGATTAATAATATCGATGGCTCAGTACAACGTGTCTGTGGTTTCCAGTGATATGCTTTATTGTTTACTCTGCTTAAACTGTGATTAAACGATATCGACTTAAGTTATAACGTGAAGAATTGATTTGATGTGACCGACTCTATTACTATAGTGAGTCCAATGATGTAAATATTTACCTATTGACATGTATCCTGGAATATACAGTTGTACATAGAATATCTCTGTGAATCAGGTGTGTTGGAAGCTTAGATCAGTTATATCTGTATGAATATGTGTAATATAGATAAGGAATATCTGAAATAATGCCTGGGGTAATCCTGACAATAGGTTAACAAGTCTGTTAGACTATGTACATAGCTGTGTGATGTCCTGTAACGATGGAATTGTTTACGTTTATTGTGTGTAAGTTCTGTATAGTGTTGAAGACGTGTATGAAAAATAGATGTGAAGAGATGCGCCTATATATAGATAGAAATTGATTGTATACCATATTGAATCCCCTTGATTAACAATTAATTGATGACCGTACACTTTAATATAAGGAATAAGATCTCAAGATATACTGTATAAGTATTGCCATCATCTATGATAGTAGATTTAAACCAAACATGGCTGGTAAAGAGGACAATGATGAATACGATGGCCAATTCAAATCGAGTGGATTATATTGGGGAATCAAAAAAGGCGAGAGTAAATTCGTATTGGAGTGTTTGCGTCAAGGGGAACCGTTATCATACTGCTGCTCAAAGACTGGAAATACCTATCTTCATTTGATAGTGACTCAAGCCTCTCCTATGCTGGAGAGTAAATATGTGCCAATGATATATCAACTTTCAAATGTGGATTTTGACTTGAATGTCAAAAATAGTAAGGGTGAAACGGCGCTTGATTTATCAATCAAATTATCATTACTACAAATCATGGTGTCATTGTTAAAGTGTGGTGCAGATTCTTCAGATAAACATCTGGAATTGATTCAAAGACACACTAAACTTTTCCAGGCAGAGTTTCTGAATTGCTTCCAAAAAATCCACCCAGGTTACTGGGACGCTATTGATAATAATAAAACATTTAAAGTGAATGTTCTCATTAAATCCTGGTGTCGGATAAATATTAGTCGGAATGGTAAAAGTTTGATAGAATATGCAAAGGAGAGTGATGGTGATGAAAAAATAATCAAAATGTTGATTGACAACGAAGCTTCTATCGAATTCGCTCATGCAACGATTGCAGGGGACAAAGAAAAGATGGAACTATTACTATGCAATGACTCTGTAGATTTACAGACTAAAGACTTATCAAATAGGGAAAGTTATTTCGAACCATATAGTCCATTGTCCCTTTATGGTGCTGCTATTAAATACGGTCATAAACATACTCTAGACATCGTGAAAGGGTACAAAGATCCATTTATGATCAAAACTGTCGAAAGACAGACAAGCAATGCAAATTCTTCTGTTTGTATTATTTTATAATGAAATAAATTATTTTTTTTGATACGATACTCTTGATGTTCCTCTTTTTCAACTGAATGGTGTTTCTACGGATTGGTCACTTCTCCCACATTCAAATTTCTCATCATTTTACATCATGAAAAAATTGACTGTGATACCCCAACCCTGACAATTCTGTGGCCCCTACTCTACCAAACACCATTTAATGATTCATAGAAACTTAACTATTTCAACTCTGTTACCCGAAACAATATTGCCCCGTGGACAGGTGCAGTACTTGATGATACTGTCTTGTGATATCGCCATAAACAGACACCTTGTCACCAGTGCTTGATGCTACTGTCTAGTGATACCACCATGAACAGATACCCAATATCTTATCACCGCAGTTCTTGATAAGACAGTGATATCACCATGAACAGATATTCAAAATCTTGTCACCAGTACTTGATAATATCGTCTAGTGATACCACCATGAACAGATACCCAATATCTCATCACCGCAGTTCTTGATAAGACAGTGATATCTGTCAGCTTAGCTGAGCATCATTTAACATCACAGGGAGTATCCGACAAGCTCGTGGAGAAAGTTGCGTTCATTGTAATATAATAAACCCAGTGTCTATATACGACCAGAGCCGTATATAGAGAGAGTCTGGCCAACTTGTGATCTCGCCGCGCTGAACCATGATTGGCGCAGAGCGGTCACGTGATTGAAGGCCGCCATATTGTTACCCTTCCCGCGACGTTTAGGCGTAGGAGCCTGGGTATTCTTTACGTTGTTTAAGCCTTATTCCTGGTCTTGTCTGGCAACAGAATGCCTCGATGTGTGGCATAGAAATGCTCTGTCAAATCTGGAGAAGGTATAGTGATGCACAGGTTCCCTAAGGATAAAAGGAGACGCAGAGAAGGGGAAGTAAAGGACAAACGATCCGACTGGACTCCCCACGACAACTCTTTTCTATGCGATGTAAGTACATTCGATGATTTCAGGGGTTTTGCAAATCGTGTTATGTTCAGGTCTAAAAACTGGATATAATAGATATGGAAACTTTGTGAGAGGGTTTCTTTCCACGCACTGGCTATCTAAACCTAGGCCTAGACGAGGAGCATGCACCATGGCTTCTGAGACACTGTCAACAACATTTCTGATAGGCCTACACTTAATCGATCGATTTATGTTTTTCTATAAAGGTGAAATTCTAAGACTATTTACTTATTTAGTATTTATTATTATTTACTTCCAATCACCAAAACAAACAGTATAATTTAAAGGTGTGCGCCATATTGGTACTTGTACGGTGAGGCAAGGGGCCATGGCTCCTAATCCTAATATTTGTGCTGGTCCTGATTTTCAACCCAAAACCCCCCCACTACCACCCTTCTCCCTATCAAGATTTCCTAAATGCCTATAAGTATTACCCCACCCCCTTTAGAGATCAAATGAAACGCCACCATTGTTTATGTTATTTCATTATTGACATTCGCAGAAAAATATGGAAGGGCAATGTAGACTGTGGGTCTAGACTATAATGTGAACACTAAGTCTTTTGGGCCAGTCACTTGGGTAAATTTTGGTTTCTCTTCCAGAATCACATCGACGACAGTCAAAGAGAAACAGTTCGCCGGGACAACAACCGACAGCGGAAGCAAAATGGTTTCAAAGCTGAAATGATGATACAGCTAGGCCCTAGCTATTTTAATATGGAAGAATACAGGTTTAATATTTCTGTGGTTAATGTTTGGAAAGTGCTAAAATTCAAAATTTGTCTTCTTTTTGTGTTTTTGTATAGACATACCAAATTTTATCAAAATCGGTTAAAAACTGTAAATTCTAGAGCGTTTACGAGGGATAACGTCGGCCGCCTTGTAGCTAAGAGAGGGTAACAAGATGGCGCCTTGTGACGTAGTTGGCCAGACTCTCTCTATATACGGCTCTGTATACGACACTCAAAAAGCATTGTGTTCTGAAATAGATTATGTCCCTTGAATGAAAATCTTCACCTTTTACTTGAAGATGAGAAAAGTATGAGTTGATTATGGTCTGACTTTGAGATAACTAAATAAATTCTCTCAGGTGTTTTCAGGTTGAAACACCATGTCAGCAATATACAAAACAGTTATAAATGTTGCTGATCGCTTTGTCCCTGCTAAGTTAGGACCTTTTTGGAATCATCCAGCAGGTAATGTTCCTCTTTTTCTCTGTAAATGGCATGTTCATGAATGTTTATTAAGTTGAGTCAACACTTATTCTTACATGTTATTTTCTGCTTGACTTGGGCTTCTTTTTTGATACAGTTTATTTGACTTTGACCCACATTGCATCCATAATGAATTGCTTGAAAAAAGAATGATATCTTATATGGTGTTGTGTTACAAATATATATAGCCTACAATTACAATACAGTGGTGTAACCTATTTTCGTGGATATAAGGATTCAACACCGAATTTCGTCACAGTTTAAAAAACGAATTTTTTTTTTATGTCTTAGATGTTTCCTCAGATATTCTACAAAATAATTAAAATTGGTTTATTTCGATTTTCTTTATGAATCCTTCACTTTGACCCATATTTCATGAGCAATCAACTCGGCAACGGCGGCAGAATGCATCACCTATTTTCATGTACGATGTTTGATCTATAAATAAGTCTAGAAAAACACATTGTATGAATACCTGGTGGTATAATTAACTTCTCTTAGTATTTATCTTTAATATCAATTCATTATAACTAGTGACAATTCCTTCAAAGAACCAAGATTTAAAAAAAAAATAGTGATTGACAAAATATGATATGTAGCGTGATTTATTGCTAAAAGTCACTGAAACAACATAAGAATATGGTGACCTTTGTGTTCCATAGAAATTTTCTGCTGACACAGAATCCGCTAGTTGATCACGTGACTTCATTCTTTGGACTACATTCTAGCAGACGACACTTGGAATTCCGATTACCGCTTGGGATTATAAGGAAATTCGGCCGATAAAAAATGGTGGCGTTTGGTAATAACTGAAATCCGCCATTTTGTATTTGTCAATGTATACATTAAAACATTTTTCCTTGCTTGAAACTATTGGATTCATTCTACTAGCTGACATTGTAGAGAAAACCCATGTTTATCAAAACAAACTAATGCGGAGGTAACGCAAGGTTGCGCAAGGTCGTTCATGTGAATTATTAATCGTTTCCGGAAATCCACGAATAATAGGTTTCCACGAAATTGGGGTACTTGACTGTATAAGAAATGAAACTCTTAATTCTATTCATTCAATTTTCAATTCAGAACCAGTGTTGTGGCAAAAAGTTTGAGTATAAATTTCGACAATATCTTTACTTTCGTGGCTTTATAAGGTAGCTTAAGCATACTGAGGCATTGACTAGCTAGCATGCAAGTTGTAGGCCATTTTCAATTTTTTTATTATGTTAGTCAGCAGAAGAATCAACACAGCACTTGTTAAGTACTGAATGGATTTCTTTACCATGCTATTTAATTTTTAGAAACTTCTGAAAGTAGGTAGTTTTAATGGTACTAGATAGCCAAATTTTACATGACACTAGTAAAATGATATCAATGTTTATTATATATTAAATATGTACGGTACCGGTACATAAATAATTGATATCTGTGAATATGTATAGATTTGTCCTTGCGGATGTAGAATGAACGGTGTAGAACCCATAATTTTGTTCATTTTTGAATAATTAGACAAGCAAGTCATTTGTTAGAGAAGGTTTTCTAAAAATGGATCCTATTATTAACAAACTCCAAACAGAGGTTTTGACTTTAACAAACACAATTTCAATCATTGCAAGTTAAAAGAAATTTATCTATGCATGATGTCAGTGCTGTATCTATTCCTTTTTAGTTTATTATCATGTTAAGAATCATTCACTAAAAAAACCAAAAAACTATGATGTCTTGAGTCTGCATTTTTGACTCATATAAGCTTACCGGTATAAGTAATGAGCTGCATCTTTTTTTCATTATTGCTTCCAAAATAAACTTATTCTAACTGTTGAAGATCTGTAGTTTTCTTTTCAACTAACAAAACCTTTCATTCTGTAACATTATTAATTAATATTAATCTTTACCTTTTTAACGTAATTTTCTTTAGTTGTTTCGTTCCTCGCATTTAGTCGCTTTTTATGTTTAGACAAGTGGTATTGTATTTTTGGATCTCTAGATCAAAGGTAATTCTATCGAATTTTTTTTTTCTTAACATATTAAAAGAATAGTTTTTAACTTTTTAGTTTTTATTAAGTTAATATTGACTATATGTAGTACTTGTTTTTTCACTCTTTAATTTAAAATGTTTTTTCACTCTTTATTCTGTACTAATATTTAATAAATTGATGCTGAACATCTCATGCATTTGTTATAATTTACATTTTTATTTCAGGTCCAAAAACTATTTTCTTCTGGGCACCATCCTTTAAATGGGTAAGTGTCTTAATTAAACTAAGAAATTATGTCAACTTATTCTACAATATATCAAATACAGGAGATTAACTTAAAGAAATTGTAAAGAGGATTTCTAAATTTTTTATGTGTATAAAACCATTATAATTTTCAGGCTGAAGTCATTGGTTAAGACAGTTCCACCAATTTTTAGCGTTTTATCACTATCTCAATAGTGACGTTATAAAACACTTAGTTTTAATGGAATGGCAGGAACCGCAGACTGATTAAAACTTGGAATGGTGCAAATTGAACCTATCATTGTCCACTTTACAATCCCTTTATTTAATACTTTGGGGTTTTGATTTACATAGAAATTGCATCTTCACCTCAGTAGCACCTGATGCTGTTGATATATATCCTTTCCCAAAAAAGTAAACATATTTGATCACCGAATATTTTGGCTGGCTCTATGATGAAATATGTATGTTTGTATGTTATAGGCACTTGTAATAGCTGGTATTGGTGATTTAGCTAGACCAGCTGAAAAACTCAGTGCTTATCAATCATCTGCTTTAGCTGCTACAGGTAATTTCTGTTGTTTGTTTTAAGAAGTTGTGTTGCTTTACTCTCTCACCTGAAATCCATATATTGGATATAGTTATCTCATATTTCCAGATCAGCTGTCCTGAAATAGATTATATATCTGATCATCATCTGAAACATAACATTTTTCATTGAAATTGCCTTCAAACTCAGATGTAGGCTCCTCTTATGTACTAGTGTGGGATATTAAACATACAATAATAGGAAATGTATTACAATAAAATGGATACAGTGAGACATGTATCTTGACATGGGATAAAAGACAAAGAGTAATGCTTCAATATTTATTCAGCTGTTTAACTTTACTTGAAGATTTTCCTATAAAATATGGACTAATTACTGTCATTTCTGTTCCCAAATGCAAATTGAACACTAGATTTCTACTGTATTTGAATGCTGCCAAGATATGTGTGTAGCCTACATGTTTTTTAGCATGCCTAGTATCGTAAGTATTAATACGCGTATCATGGCATGTCATATCACAATGTATCTCACTGATAAATCATGCCAGCACTATTTTCTACTCTCAAGAATGTGATAAGATTTAAGTGGTAATGTCTTTTGCAATATGGTTTATTTATAGGTATTATATGGTCTCGATATTCAATGGTTATTATACCTAAAAACTATAATTTATTACTTGTCAATCTATTTGTTGGTGCTACAGGACTATTTCAGCTGTCTCGTATTTATAAGTAAGTTTTTATACTGTTAAATTATTTAAGAATCAATGCTGATTTCAATAGTGTTATTGGTGTGTAAGTGCATCAAACTGAATATGTGACGAAGTCACTTGTGTATGGTGTTCCCTTTTTATTTATTATTATTTTTATTTAACAGACAAGGGAAATGGACAAATGGTACAGATAAAGTCATCTTCACAATGTCAAGATATCACAAACTCTTCAACTTGATGGAAAAACTACATGTGTATTCAAGGCCTTTGATTTGCTATATTCAATAGTGTGCAATCTTATCAAATCACTTTATTTACGAGTACAAGTTATTGGATGGAGTTCGAAATAGCTTGATGTTGTAAATATGACCTTATCTGTACCATTTGTACAGTCTGAACACTTTACTCCACAGCATTGTGCTTTTAAAATAAACATTACTAACTCTTACTTCATAATTTTATAATTTCAGTCACAGAAAAGCACAAAAACAATAACAGTGTACCATAAACTAACGACAAGTATTGAAATAATGATTTGATAACCCTGATTGGAGATTAAGATTAGAATAATTTAGATGAATGGAATTTGATTAAATGAATTTTATATGGATTTGGGATCAAAATAAAAAGATTTTAGCACAAAATAAAGATGGATTCCTAAGAGTTAAAATTTCTTATATCATAAAAGATTAATATAAAAGTAACATTTTTTAATGAACTTCTATCCAATACTAACTTACAAATTTAAGGAAGGCCCATATTTTTGAAGATGAAGATGGCATCAATTCGAATTGTAAAGGTCGTTAGGTATTTTTCATATGAGTTATACCTTAATGACAATACAGCTGTGATAAGAGTTGTGACAAACCTCAAAATATAAATGCTCTCTGTACATTAACAATATAGAGGGAAATTATATATTATACATTTACTTGCTTACAGTTTGATAAAGGCTGGTGGTAAATTTTGAAATATCAATGGATATTTAGGTAATCTTGATTTGTGACTGAAAATTGTTATCAGAGATTGATTTATTTTGCATTTCAATAGTTGAGCAAAAATCATAAGAAACTTGTATTTATATTGAGATTTCTTTGCTAGTTATTATTGTATTGAATTTCAACCAGTGAGTGATAATATTTTTAGTTAGAAAAATTTGCATGATCCTGACAAGTACTTTAGGTTAAGATGATTTGATGATATTTTAGGAAACTTTTGGTTGAATTAATAATAAAAATTGGGTTATATTATATTGCAATATTTTGGTTAAATTACAATATTTTGGTTACTATATTTATTACAATAGTTTTGTTTGATCTTGCCTTATAGTTAAAATATTTTGGTAGCCCTATAAAATATGTTTGTGGTTATGAGATTATTATTATCAGAAATTTTATGATTTTAATTTTTAGTTTTGTTTTATTATGAAATGAAATAAATCTATTATATGAAACTAAATTTGTGTGTTAATGATCAATGGAATGGATACTATGAAGAATTACACTGAAATTTCACAGATTGTGTAATCTATTATGATCAGTATGAGATTGGAGCACCTGTTATTTCTCTTGTTTCAGATACTGAAATCACAATCAGGCTTTGTTTGATATATATACAAAGGTATTTCACTAGACAGAAGCAAAATATTCAAATTGCATAGATAACAGCTCATCTGATTATTGCCCTTAGTGTGGGTCTTTACAATGTCAAGAGCTCAAGAGTTTTGTTCAGTTCAAATAACATGGGTATTGCTTTACAATGCCTGCATAAATTGGTTCAATATTAAAGGGATTGTATGTAGTTGTCTTGACATTTAATTATCATCTGATAGAGTTTAATATTAGCTATGTGTATCACCTTTCAGAATCAAAAATAATTATATTCCTTTAATTATTCTCTTCTGTATGTAATATTCACTCAGTATGGTCTTGTCCCTTATTACTAATCATCATTAGCCAGGTGAAGATGAGTGCAAGCAGAAAGAAAGAGCTCCAAATCATTTCGTTAATAGAGTTTGTCCAAAGCTTAAACCAGATAAAAACTTCTGATCTTGCCTTGCTCATCTAGATAATACATGTAAATATTATTGACTATTCCTGGAATAAAAAGATTCTGAAGTATTCGTATATGATTAAAAACTTGTTGCTACTGGTAAGTAAAATCCATTCATAATTTCATTCATTCATTCATTCTATCTATCTATCTCATTGCACTGATTTTTCTCATTCAAAGTTGTTTCCATCATTCCTAGGTGGATTTGTTGGGTTGATTAATCTTCAGATATTGCTTGTGAACATGTTTGTCTGTAAATCTGCTTAAATATTGATTTCTTTTTTCAGGACCTAAAACAATTTTCTTCTGGGCACCATCAGTGAAATGGGTAAGAGTCAGTTATATAATTTATATGACAACTCTTTATAAGGCAAAACGTGAGAACTTTAAGCGCAGTATACAAAAAAACATTTTTTTTTCAAAACAGTTATCAACTATTTGATATCACCTGCCATTCTGACAACAAATAGAAATGTCACTGTCCTATCAGATAATAGGAAATGGTCATCGTCCTTCTCCTAAGAATCTGCTATTGAAAAATTTGATCAAATGAAATATTTCATCTACATAAGCTTCCCAGTGGATTTCAGTATATCAATAACATTCACTTTTAGAAGTACAAGTCATAATGAATTTCAATTGTTTTTTTTATTAACAACAGGTATTAGTTATAGCAGGACTGGGTGATTTAAAGAGACCACCAGAGAAAATGAGTTTATTTCAGTCTTCTGCTCTAGCTGTTACAGGTGAGAATTAACTTTCATGTTGATATCATTAAAGGGACACGTTCACCTTCTGTTTGACCAATTGTATCCAAGTCTCAGAAAAGCTAAGCTAATCAACAATAGTATGCACAGCTCACCGTCGAAATTTGAGCCATGTATGTACAGAATTATCCACGTTTGAATGTTAAAATGATGACTTGTCATTTCATAATACTCCAGCATACATAGAAAAAGAAAGTGAAATATTTCTAGTTTAATTAAACGACTTTCTTGCAGTTCTAATACTTTTACATTTATTTACATACATATATTTAAAACCCAAATCAACCCCTGAAAATGGCAAACCTGTCCCTGCAGCACCTCACAGCCATGCAAACCACCTCTTCATTTTCTAATATTTTCTAAATTAATTGTAGGGACTATTTGGGCTCGTTATTCTCTAGTCATCATACCAGTTAATTACTATCTGTTCACTGTCAATGTTTTTGTTGCATTAACTGGTTTTTATCAACTTAGTAAAATCTACAGGTGAGTTATCTATTAGACTGATACATTGCAGTGTTAGACCAAATGGGGCTGGATGTCTATCCAGCTATGTTTATAAAACACTCTACATGTAGAGCCAAGATTTTATATGTATTGACATGCCAATCTAGCATAGACCCTACTATTGGAGTCTGGCATTTAACACTTTCAATGTGAAACAATCTTTTTTCAAATTTTTTAATTGTGTTATTAAACAGCATATTATTGTAGCTTATTATTAGAATTATCACTTTGTTTTAATTCATTAAACATTAGATCAGTTTTAACAGTTTCTAACTTCATGGTTATAGAGAAATGTGAAACTGTTGTCTTCTGTTTTCATCCTGAATAATGAAACAGAGTGTTTATTCTGTGATTGACTAAACTATATCTCTTTCCATTAAAGAGATTGTAAAGAGGTTTTCTAAATTTTTATGCATATCGATGACACTGATAGAATCAATTTGCCTCAATCCAATTTTCAATCAAGCGTCTGTGGTTTATGTAATTCTACTAAAACTAAGCGTTTTATGACTTCACTATCACAAAGGTTCATCTTATTGAAAAGTGAAATAGTACAAATTGGTGATATCAGAATCCCGGATATACATACATAGAATTTAGTAAATATCTTTACAATCCCTTAAAATTAGATATATCCTACTTATAATAGTGTTCTTCTGACATTACAGATACAGAAGTCAGCTAGCATCACAGCAATCAGCAGAATCAGCTCAATCTCAATAATTCACCATCAAATCAACGAGATATTTATATTTTAACTCAGTTAAATAATTCAAAGATTTTATCATGTAACAGTATTAATAAATTGTTAATTTGAAAATGTAGTTTTAGAACTTCAATCTATAGCTCTGACCTTAGTCCATGAAAGAAATGTTGTCAATAGCCTGGGCCATTATCAGAAGTGTTGCACGTTGCTTCCAAATGATTCTACAACTCTATATGCTAGGTTATGCACTGATATATGAAAATATGCTTTTTCCTGTAACCTAAGACAGAAACATCTGCCTCTATTTCAGCCTTCAATAGCCATTTTGAAGGATGTCGGCTGGTGTAGAGACAGAAAAACTGGGCCCAGTTTTCCACTTCTCCAAAGGTGCAGGGGATTTTACCCTATTTATTTAACGTGGATCTGCCAAACCCAGATATATTCAGAAAGATTGATATTTTTGTTGTTCGTAATACCCCTATACCATGTATGTCACATCTTTGGTTCCATTAAAGTTTTTAAAGAAAACGAAAGTTTAAGTGATGCCTAAAACTAATATTCAGTTATGAAAAGGTAATTCCATATATGGTAACTAAAAAACACATCTTATAAAACAGGGCCTATTTTTTAGTTACCGGAAAACTGCCAAAATATTTATCAGAGACTGGAATAGAGGCAGATGTTTTGGCTCACTGTAACCCATTCAGATACCAGTTTAAGTGTTCAAGTGTTCAATACTACAAGTATAGTTTAGCAAAGATACTTGGCATATCTGAATGGAATCAAAGCATAACAATAGCATAGGGTGGGATGTCTTTATGTTTTGAATTAGAACTGGATGTGTTAACATATTCGCTTGACTATATAGAGTATTTTCAAAGGATCTGTTAAACTAACCCTCTTTACTTTCCAGAATAATGTCAACTATAATTAACAACACTAACGATCTAAAAGTTAATGAATGATTTATTCTCTGCAATAACAACCATGACTTAAAATAACTTACTTCAAAAAATATCTTTTGAGCTTTCTAAAGCCATTTCCACTTCTTTTTCAAAGTTAAAAGTACATGATAAAGGAGATACACAGTATAATGACACGATAACTAACATATTTATAATTGACAGATGTATTTCTGTTAAGAACATGGTTCTCGATACATTTTCACTTTAATACATTATTTAGGATAATTGTCTTTCAAAGCTCAAAAGATGATTAGAAATAATTCAACAAAGTGATAGAAATCTAATCAAAAATAACAAAATCAGCAGATAACACAAAAAGATTCAACATGAGCAATTATGTTTGTGTAAATCATGTTACCGACATATTTGTGCACGAGAGTCTGAATCCAAACATAAACAAAAGTCATCCTCATATTGTGTTTAATACTGATTAAATATTCAAAGCATTAACTAGCATCCTTCCTCACAAACTTGTTCTGCCAATATCTTCTGATAAATAAAGTCAAGTTAGACATTCAATAAAGTTTAGCATATTAGTATAATATTTAGCGAATCATAAATTGCATAGGTATACTAGGTACAATCTACATGTTGTTTTGTTGTTGTTTGTTGACCTACTAAAAACCAAGATAAAGGCCTAACAAATTTAGTCTTTTGAAGAAGTCAGATCAAATGTGTTTTTTTTCTACAGATTATTTGAATTATTTGAATTATTATATATTTGAGTCACCCACTGAAAAATATGACAACACTTAGATCTGTTGTTTAATCAGAATATTGAAAGAATTTTACTAAAAAGGTCACCAAAAAGTCTTGTTTAACAAATCATACTCATTTTCTTTAACAATTTAACATCCTAATGACCAGGTACAGAGGTCAAATCCCAGTAATAAAATTTTATTAACAATATGGCACAATTCACTGAGTAGTCATTTTCAATGACTCATTTCATGTATACCTCCTTGATTTTACCAGCTTGTATACTTTGACTGGATAGACTAGTTCATACAGTCAGTTTTCCATCATATGCTTTTGTTATTTAATGATGGAGTTAATAAACAGACTTTTTATGGTAGTAATTTTCATTGGCACTTGTCTGTTTTAAAAAGAGGGGTGATAGTGAGGTGCTATAATTCATGAGTTAAGTCAGTGTAAAAATTAGTTGTGAATAATATTTAAAGACATGCATAGAATGATTAAACCTTAGTTTGAGATGAAATAATCCATAAATTATACAAATGATGGTTTTTTAGGGAAAGTACAACCAGATTGCTGTATAATTAAATTTCCTGCCCAATGTCCACATCTCATACATTCACTGATTGGTTTGCCTTGAACTAACTGTGCTAAAAATCCTGAAAAGAGAGAACAGAATAGCCCAAATTAATTTTCAAATGGATCACTTGTCCAGGTCTATCCAAATGTTTTATGATAAAAATATATGCTGGTTATTGTATTGTGTCATCAAGTCTGGAAGATCTTAGTTTAAATTGCATTAATAAGAATCCACAGATACACACTGCTATAAATAAACCTCACTCACCTCCAACAAAGGCATCACCAGCTCCATTAGTATCCACAATATTTTTACTATCAACACTAGACGCAGGGTATTCTGTTATTTTACCATCTTAAATAAAATATTATTTTATTATTTATTATACAGAATTGGAGAGGAGAGGTCTTTACAAAAGCTATTATCCTAATCGTCAAGAAGACAATAATGCATCACAGCATAATTAGCAAGCTTCAGCCTTTTCCTTTCTGTCAAATTGGGTTCACCTTGACACAAATATATAAGTCAGTTATTCACAGTGCTTAAAACAAGGCTTACATATTTTTAACGTTGTGCCTAAAAATGACTGCTTACTGTCCAATCACCACAGAACAAACAGAAGTATATCACTCTCACATTCACAAGCCTTTGTTTATGGGTGTCAAATTGTTGCCAAATCTTACCTTTAGCTACAATAGCAGGTAAATCTCCCTGTGTAAAAACAACCATTCTCGATCTTTTAGAATTAACTTTTTCCATATCTGCTACTTTTAATGCTACTTCTTTGAGATCTTTTGTCTGAAATATTTTGAATTCAAGTATTAGATTTTGGCATGGCATTGAAGACTTTAAAGATTGAATTCTCTCTGGGTCAGACAGTTGCTCAGTCTCTTGTATCATTGCCATCTAGACTAAAAAAATTATGGTTTATTTTTAATATCTGTCAGTGTGCAAATGTCTTTTGGTCGTAACTAAGTCATCTTCCCTCATTGTATTAAATCATTACATGGATACAAAAAAATTTGATATAAATCATAGATAAGAGATTTGGCAAAAGACACAAAGTAAAGGTCCTCATACAGCAAAATTTGTTATATTGTAATACAATTCACATACTATTATTTCCACCTGATACAACCATTGCAGTTGCAGAATTATTTTTTGACAATGTAAACCAATGATATACTTACATTAATATCATTAGCAGTAGCAAATTCTGCAGCTTCCTAAAAGTAAACCAAACAATGTGAAAGGTGACATATATAAAAACCCAGTATGTCTTATTGGTTGTAATAGACACTGCTTGGAAAGGTAAGAGTACAAAAGGCAATAAGTAGTATACAACTTCAGAAGTATTCAGACAGTATGGCAGAAAGTTCACACAGCATCTTTTAATAAAGATAAATGACACTTACTGTTTCGTTGGCAAATAAAATATCTACATATAGTAAAACTTGTAACATGGCACTTTTGAATACAGTACATAAAAATGGTGCTGATAAATTCATACAAAATACTTTATTATGTTCATTTGCATGTTTAGCAATTCGTAGCATGGCTTCAGGACAAACCGTTAGTGGAAAACCCTGAAAAGATAGTAAAGTTATTTTAAGTAAAAATTCAGAGAAAATGAGAATGAAGGTGGAAAACAATTGGGTTGATCCTCTAAAGTATGTATCTTTGTGTCAGACTGTATTTCAAGAAGATGGAGTTAACCTTCCTGCAAGTAGTCTAAATAGTGACAAGAACACTGCCCTAATTCGATTTATGTGTTCTTAAAGTTTTGCAAATTTTACTAAGATTTTTTGAAGGCACTTTAAGGGTTTGTAATTTTATAAAACGCTTAGTGGAGTACACTGTACTGCATGCCTTCCAAAATGCAGGAATAGTTAGGTTATAACGAGAATAAACCGAATTTAATATTTAAAACCAAGACTTCCAAGGTGTTCCATTACCGCTTACGCAATTTTTTTGGGGCAATTTGGATGAATTAAAATGCATTTGTGGGCGTATAAGCTTGCATAGATAATATGCAATTGTTGTGTTTAATTTGTCAAAACTTATTAGAAGTAGAATTAGACTTCTTGTTTTTCAAGCTAAAAATCCACAGCAATATATTTGTCCCTTATCTTAAAAAAAAATAAAGTCTAAAATACACTTACTGCACAGTAGTAAAAATCCGCTTTTTCAACTAACTTCCAGTTTTCAGGATCATCTAAATGACTTTCTGTGAAGCAATTGGCTGCAGCAAGATTAGCCACTAAAGACCTGACCAATTGAGAAGTACGGGTAAGTCAAAGTATTTAAACCAATTTAACAGTACAACAATATTATAATGAGTTGCATCTTTGATAGAAATTTGAGATAAGAAACTGAAACACACAGTTGTTCTGCTCTTTGAAAATTTTACAATGAAGAGGACTGACTGACAGTATTTCGATTGGTTGATTGACAGCTTAAGTCCCACCTTCAGCACATGCTGGATGTTCAACCTGAGAAAATGAAATCAAAAATAGTACACACCTATTTTTTTCAGTACAAACTACAGCACAAGTACCAGTGGGTTGTTTTTCTGTGACTTGAAACTTTACATTGACACCAGCATCTTTGCCCTTTTCTTTTAAAATTGAACCAAACTTATCATCTTTACCAATACAACCAAATACAGTTGTGGCATTATCCACACCTACCAGCCACTAAAAAATCATTATTTTTCGTAACATTTTGTGAACAAAGGAAGGGGAAACAGATACAGTGCTCTCTTTGCCTTCTGGATTAAACTACAATGTTAACCTCATTTCGAAAATCAAACGTGTTTGATAATTTTTTCCACGAATGAACAAATGCTTGTGTGTGACAATTCAGAATGGCTGCGCCCTTGGATTTGATTGATAGTAGCCTAATTCTAAGTCTTCAGAAGACGAAGAAATGTTGCTATTAACACTGTTACTACGCCATAATCATAGTTGAAAGAAAGCAAATTGTTGCAAGCAATGGGTTCAAACCTGGATTCAGAGAAGGCATTCAAGGGAAGCTTTCTTCTAACACATACAAGAGTTATAAAAGAGAAATCTCGTCAATATCATTGCCTAGACAGACAGTCTTTTAAAGATGTTTGGGCAATGGCCCTATCAATTCCAAGAATAGAATGCGCCCTTTAATAAGCCCGACTGAAAGGCTAACTGTTGCGCTAAGTTATATGGCCTCAGGTAACAGCGTTAATAGTAAAATTTCTTCATCTTCTTCCATTTTGAATTGTCACATGATTACGCATGTGTAGATAAAGTTACCTGTAAGCAGATAGCTTTAGTTACGCGCACCACAAGCATTTGTTCATTCGTGGACAAAATTATTAAAGACATTGATTTTCAACACCAATGACCAAAATCTTACATAAATTTACTCGCACGCGGAAGGTATCGCCTTAAGGAGAAGTGCACGAATGAATTCAGCCTGAGCTGATGGCTCGTGTGCGACAGACTTTAAGAGCAGACAACTTTGTTTTACTGAGAAGGAAAATATGGGAGATAACTCTTACTTTACAATTAGTTTTAAGACCACAATTTGACCTAATGATATCAATATGACATAAGAAATGTTTCTTTCAACTGTCAAGTTTTGAGGGTTCAAGGAAAATAATTACCTGTGCAACTCGAATTGCATTTAAAGTGGCTCCACCAGGAACATATTCCACAGTATCAGGATAAGATTTAACCATATCATCATACCTGTAATATAACAAATATTGAACCGCTACAGCTATTATCTCTTCAGTAAAGCTTTAAGCATCAGGTGTTCAGGAAGGATAAACATGCCCCATACATGTGTAATCTACCGATGTTGTCGGGTTTCTACCGCTTTTGCATGTTGTCTACCTCTCTACCAATTTTTGTTTTTTTCTGACCAAATTTTCATAGGACCGTCCGTTTTCAATGTCCAAATTCTCTACCATAAATCAACAAAACATCTATCATTACTTGTAGCTTGATTGCCAGTAACACGCGTTAATATCATCACCTAATAATTTTATCATTACCTGGTTAATTAATCCCCCAATTAAGATGGTAATTTGATCTATTTTCACCTGATAAAGCGTATTTTAAGCCCATGTGACATACTTTTTTTTTAACAACATCTGGTAGATTCTACTTTCGCTTTTACAATAAATTTTAGGGTAGCATGTCATGCCCTGCCTTTTAAGCAACCCCATAACTTATTTTAGTGAAGATCAAGTTAATAGTCTTCGACTTTGAGCTAATTATTTATCTTGATTTCTTCAACTTTATATCAATATACAAATCACTTGAACCAAACAAAAAACATATCTTTCAAGTAATAATAATGATCTGAAACTGGTTTTCATTGTATGTAGGGCTTAGTATTATTATCTGGTTACATTCTCTTTGACTGACCTCTGTTTATGACAATATCAGAAGATATATTCAATAAGCAGTATTATACTGTTCATGTATTCTAAATATTCAAGAATTGTCTTATGAGTTAAATAAAAGAGGGTTAAATGCTGGCACTGTTTCTTCATCACATAAATATCAAATAGAAATATCTTAATACAAATAATGTCAAATTAATATACTTTGAAGTTGCCTTTGCTTATTTTTCTTGATCAAATCATGTTTATTGTTTGATTAATTGAGTGCTAAGATTGTGTTAGGATGTAGAAAAGCTTTGGGATCAAATTTACTGAAATCGATTGAAAAACACTTTAACAGATTGTGATAATCTGGCCACATTTTCGTATAAAAGATAGCTTGCGATGCAAGCTAACATACACCCACTGGCAGCTGTCAGAAATGATAAAACAGTCTTTAGTGACTAAAGTACGAATTTTCTCATATTGAAGAAATTATTTATGCTGAATAATTCCACAAAATTTTTTAAAATCAATATCAATAACCCAAATACAACAAACAATTCAATCACACAGCTCTAATCAAAGGCAAAAAACAACTTTTGACGTCAAGGGCAATAACTCAAAAAATGTTCATCAAAAATATCTCTTGTTAGAACTTGTCCGAGATCTTATCAATTCCAATGATCACACCAAGTTTCATCAAAATCGGTTGAAAACTGTAGCTTCTACTGTTCTCACAAACAAATTTTGACGCATATTTCGTAAGTTAATGGCAATAACTCAAAAACATTTCATCGAAAATGCGTCAAGTTAAAACTTGTCCGAGATCTTATGAATTTCAATGATCACACCAAGTTTCATCAGAATTGGTTGAAAACTGTAGCTTCTATTGTGCTCACTAACAAATTTTGACGCGTTTTTACAAAGTCAAGGGCAATAACTCAAAAACTGTTCATCAAAAATGCATCAAGTTAGAAGTTGTCCGAGATCTTATCAATTCCAATGATCACACCAAGTTTCATCAGAATAGGTTGAAAACTGTAGCGTCAATACTGCTCACAAACTATTTTTAACAAATTTCGACGCATTTTAACAAAGTCAAGGGCAATAACTCAAAAACCGTTCATCGAAAATGCGTCAAGTTAAAACTTGTCCGAGATCTTATTAATTCCAATGATCACACCAAGTTTCATAAGAAGCGGTTGAAAACTGTAGCTTCAATCCTGCTCACGAACTATTTTTAACAAATTTTGACGCGTTTTTACAAAGTCAAGGGCAATAACTCAAAAACCGTTCATCGAAAATGTGTTAAATTAGAACTTGTCAGAGATCACACCAGGTTTCATCAGAATCGGTTGAAAATTGTAGCTTCAATCCTGCTCACGACCTATATTTAACAAATTTCAAGGCGTTCTAAGTCAAGGGCAATATCTCAAAAACCGTTCATCGAAAATATGTCAAATTCGAACTTGACAGATCTTATCAATCTAAAGCATCACACCAAGTTTTATCAATATCAGATAAAAACTGTAGTCTCTATAGTGATCACAAGAAATGTTGACGGACGGACCGACAGACAGGGGTGGCGACAATATACGACCACATATTCATATGGGCGTATAAAAATGACTAGCCAAACCATGTTTAAAAGACATATTTGTAAGTTACAAATAATGTAATTGAATACACTACGTATTTAGAAAATAAAAAATTATCGGTTTTTTTCCTATTTTGGAAACATAACGATTTTAATTTACAAATTTTTAGTTGGTATTTGACTGTTTTGGTAAAAAGGCACACATAGAGTTACCTCCCTTATGGAAATTGTGAGACCTGATAATCTTTATTAAGTTAATAAGAGACCGCTTGATCATTGGAATCCCCTCGTAATTAGCTAATTACAAGTGAATTATTGACTTCTGAGACAAACTGATATTTTCCCAATCATTAGAACCCCTCTGCTTTCGATTAGCCGTCCAATAATGGAATATATATATGTAAATAAATGAAAATAAGGAAACCGAACTTTAATGAAAATTTCATACTAGAATTCTGAAGTGCAACTTCACACAATGTTATCATTCTAAATAATTATATTTTTTTTATCTTTAGATACTTACATAGGAAGATGTTTTTCTTCTGCTAAAATAGCATTATTAGCTTTCAAGTCATATCTACAAAATATACAAAATCATGAAAACTGGTACAACAAAATTTATGTCAGAATTAAAACTAAAACATAATGGTAGATTTGAACTGGAAGAAAGACTTTCTTGTCCTAATCCAGGTTGACTTCTTAAACAAAAGTATAAAAAATAGTACAGAGGTTTACAAAACCTATTTAATATGTGTATCCATGACAATGAAAGCATCAATATGCACCATTCCAATTTTTAGTGAGTTGTGTGTAATTTTTGTTAGTTATTGCCCCCAGATATCATTTGCAATAGTGACGTCATAACATATACAATTAAGCATTACTTTAATTTCAGGAACCACAAACGTCCAATTTACCTTCAATGTAAGAGCTATGGCCATGACCTTAGCTTAGAATTAAATAACTTTAATATGTTTTTATCTGTTTTTAATGAATAGAAATATAGTACAAAAGATAATACTATTTTTAGACTCGAGTTTGTATTTGAAGATATCATGTAACTAGTCAAATGCAGTTTGCACAAGAAAGCAGAAAAAATAAATTGTTTAAAAAAAAATTTTAAATTTAGCTTCTCACTGCTTATTCCACAAATCTATGGTCCATAATATTCACACTGCCAAAATTCAAGCAATTATTTGGTCAGTAAATATCTATTAGTCATCTCTAGAAAATCAGAACTTACTTCTTTAAAAAATCTTCATCACTTATGATAGAAATATCTAACAGAGGATTTCCATAGCCGAGTAAGATACCTGGTCTGAAATATATATAATATATCTAGTTATATTCAAACAATATACACCGGTAATTATATTAAATCTGATTATGTACAGAAAGGCTGACTCAAAATCATGCTTCCAGATCACTTTCTAGATTTGATCCAGGAAAGAATAGATTTCCAAGCGTACTTTACTAAAACATGAATTAACCAGAAACTACCAGGAAGCGACCAAATAAAACATGAAACAACCAGGAAACTGCTTCAACTATTTTTCGATGAACTTTAAGAATGCTAATCAGGCCACACACGTACTTTATTTTTAAGAAAGGTGCATTTGGGACAAGTGCACTTTATTGACCTGTTATTGTATGATAATTCCCAGTTAAGTACATTTTGAATGTGACCTAATTCAGTTTGAAATATAACATTGTTAATACATTCAAACAATATTATTTTATTATGTTGTGTGAATTTTAATATGATACATTAATTATCTTATGAAAATGAAACTGGTAGATAAGGGCCATTCCCCTAATGTCTGACTACATTGAGCTTTGAATTGAATTTTTTTCTCTCATTTCAAAAATATTCGAAATATAATGACCTCCTTTGTTGACCAAAAATTGATAAATAATTTTTAAAATTAATGTTTTTTTCGGTGCTCAACATTTTCATCAACCCAAAGACAATCTAAGACTCTCAGTAGTATTTTTGTAATTGATATTTCAATTCATATGAAAATACAATTTTTTTTCTTTTTGCTGTCGGTTTTCATTTCATAGTACGGTATATAAAAAAGGAACAGACAAGGAATGGATTCATTAATTTTTATGTTTGATGCAAGATTTGCTTGATTGGTTAAACTGAAAGTAGAACTAGAAGAGAGCCATAAAATACCCCTACCGCTACCCCTGCTGCGATTAAGTTGAACTCATGGAAATATTGATCGTTGATGTTATGAACGATGATTTGTAAGTCATGTAAAAATGATCGAGAGATATACCTTGCCATTTCGTGCAATATTAAATCTCTCAGAGGCTCAATATGTAAGCAACGTTTTCTTTTATACACATGGACGAGTTCATTAAAACTGTTAAGGGTAGTTAGGTAATTAGGCGAAACTACATTGACGATGAAATTGATATTATCACCGAGTTTGAAAAGAAATCTATCAAAATATTTGAAAATCATTTTCACTAGGAACAAATGGATAACTTTAAAACATTCAAATAGTCGACTCCTTAAGGATACCAAGACACAATTCCTCATCATTAGACTCAATCATTGATAGCAAGTGCACTAGGCCCAGCCTAGACCGGTTCGTTCAAGCCTGGTTGTGACTTGACTTTTGAAGATAACCTATGTAGTCATACCTATGTAGTAACAAGATGAAATTAAGTTATCGTTAATACCTGACTAAGAGAGTTTTCTGTTTTTTACAATCATTTTCTACTTCCAACTCCTTGGAATCTCCAGATAATCTTTTTGGATAGGACATCGCGCAGCCTGTTCGTTCTTTCAAAATTCAAGTGGGAGTCAGTTCGTTTTATACACTTATGCTTCAAAAAGCTACCATGGTTTTTGAACCGAATCATCTTAAATTGCCAATAATTTTACCTGATAGCAAGAGTGTTTTTCTAGACATTTCTTTTTATTATGAAGCACAATAAAATCAAAGTAGAGACAGCTTTCCTCTCTCAAAAAACTGTCTACCATGAGAAGTAAAACTTTAAGTTTTCAGGATCCAACAGATAGCTGTTGTAGACCTAATCATTTGCAACAGTTTCTGAGGGATCATATCAGAAACTAAATAGATCATATCAACAGGTTACAGAAGCAAAGTCAAACAATTTATTCAATCAAATAACTCATAGAGCAATGGTTACTTTATTGTCTTGTCCTATTTATTTTTGACTTTTTTCGATAATTTTTAAGAGAATTGGAATATCAGCCTCAAAATAGTACTGATAGTCTTAGAATGTCTTTGCATTGATAAAAATATGCTCTTTTGTAAGTTGACATTGAAAAGAAACTCATTTCCCTCCAAGATCTTTAACCCCAAAGAGTCACAAATTTTGCCTGAAAATGGGCCTCTGTAAAAGCAAATTTTGAAGACATAATGTGTGGTTGTGTTTATATTTCTATCAAAGCACAGACATTTTAAGACTTATAGTACTATATTGAGGCTGCTATTCCAATTCTCATAAAAATAATAGAAAAAATTCAAATAACTTTTGAGAGATATTGCAAGATGGTTGGGTAAAGTTTAAATTGGATTGTACATTTGTAAATTTCATTTGAATTTCTTTCAAGTTACTCACTGGCAAGACAGAAAGATAGCGGATCCATTTGGAGTATTGGGAAGACGTTAAATTGCGAACGCTTTTTCGGAAGAAAAGAAAATCACATGGACAGACAGATATAATTATATGTCTACAAAGTAAGATGTGGGATAATAAAGCACCCAAAGTTTAGTCATAATTTTATTGAATCTAGATTTATTATTATTTGTATAAGTGGGTTTATTCCATACTTAAAAGATATAATAGAAGTCGGATATGGGCAAATAATATAATTTATCTTGAGCCATTTGACACACACGCACATAACTTCACTCTATAGTTTATCACAATCTTATACTGGCTTATCAAAAGGTAGAGGAAAATTAAAGAGTTATGTCCAACCCAGAGAGATTACAGAACCAGAGCAGCCTCTATTCTGGGCATTTCCTTCCAAGAAAGATAGAAATATCAATTGTAGTTTTCTCCCTTTGTACAATTAACATTATTTGCTGTAAAGAACTTGCTACCTTCACAATTTCATTTGTTAAAATTGGTGGAGGCAACATAATCTTAACTAAGAAAATACAAATTTAATTCTTATTTTAAAATTTAAATTATTCTAAAAATATATGGTGACAGAAATTTAAGGAAAATCAAAACAAAACACCACTCAACTTTAATATCAATGGAGGTTAAATATGCAAGTTCAATATGAATAGCACTAAAAATTAACCAATGTCCAAAAAAAAAAAAAAAAATACAGCTCTTATTACGTCTTGTTTATTTTCTGTCTGTAATATCACTCATATTAGATTATTATATCAAGCCCATAAATACACAAACTATCTGCAGAAAGAATTTGTGCAAGTCAGTAGAAGGATTTTATAGAGGAGGTATAAATAAACTGAGTCTAAAGCCTATACAGAGTTAATATTTCACTCATTCATTCACTTCACCAATTTCTTCATTATTATAATAAAATATACACACTTTAATAACAAACAAACAATCAAAATAATGCTTTATAATGTTTCTCTCTGGTTTATATATAAAGAAGGCCTATTCACATCAACTTATACAGCTTAATATTCAAAAATATTTGTAAATTTTTAATCAATAGTACAATACAGTATAACCTGATGTTAGATTGTCCAATTGGATCTTCTAATTTGGTGGCAATTTAAACTTTTCAAATAAAATTAGCCATTTTTTGTTTAATTTTAACATATGACTGATAAAAATAAGAAGGAATTCATAATTAACCCACATAAGAATAAAATTTTAAATCAAGAACTATACTTCTATGATCTAAAAATCTATGCCTTTAAGAATCTTATAGTCTGTATTCTATGATTCCAAAACTACATAATTAAGCATTTATTCTTGTACGGTAACACATCTAACTTAAAAACCAATTGCTTCAAAATAGCAAGGGAAGAATTTATCAGATTGATGTGCTTGTAATATTAAACACGGCAGCCTAGACATAAAATAATACCATCTTAACAAACAAAGATTTATAACAAACATATTCCTATATAAGAGGTTAGATTAAATTTTAGGTAATTTGGGGGCAGTAACTACAGGGTTATTCTGTTCTAATAACTTCTTGCCTTCTGTTTTATAATCAAAACAACAATCATGGGATTCTGCATAGCGATGAGTAGCACAGAAATTATCACCACATCTACAACAAAAACATAATATAAGTTTGGTTAATTAATAATGAAAATCGACATTTTTTTTTTAGTTATTCTCATCTAGTAACTTTTAATGGATTTAAGGTAGCTGGCTAAAGGGGCAATACTTGGTAAAAATATTACAATTATAATGCCAATTCGAATATTGAGTAAAATCTTTTGTGTACATGTACAACAAGATTATCGCCTTGCCAACAGGATTTTGAACATCAACCAAGTTTGATATTTGTCCCGGATCTTTTTCTCGTTGGCGATGTGTTCGCTGTGTGACTGCATTTACAAGACAAGACTACACAAAGCATCATTATCCAAACAGATTCATTTTCTCTTAAATTGCATGATTATCACATGATTTATCAACATTGACTGGATTTTTGGCCTCCTTGTGTGCCTGCAGTCGGTCAGTGAAACTCTGGTCAATACTCTTAATCGACGACCCAAACTGTTTGTGTGCCAAGAGCAAAAGATGATAATTTCACCAGATAGAGGCTTTTGAATACCTTTAACATTTTTTCATATTTCAGTGCACATTACCACATTGGAGATTTGATGTATATTAAGATCCTAAGTCTTGCCTCTTGAAAAATTTGATACAAATGTCAAATAGATAAAAATTTTGACCTGATTATAAATGGTTAAAACAGACCATACCTGCACTGATAGCTTGTAGCCAAACCAGTCTTTTTACCACAAAGATAACAACGTTTCACTTGTTTCTTCTTCTGTTTAACTGGTGGTAAACGATAGGTAGGAGATATCCTCCCCTCTCTACTCGCTGATAACTTCTGTAATTTGGCAGACTGAAACCAGATAAAAATTATTTTCTTTCATCAGCCTTTTTGATTTGTCAACCCCAACTTGTTTGAGATCTCATCAGATGAAAACTCATCTTTGAACTAACAAACAAATTTTGGTGCGTTTTCTATTTGTTTTAAGAGCAATAAGTAAAACATCTTGTCATCATATAACAATGGACACATCCAAAAGCATGCCAAGTTTCATTCTCACTGATAGTATCTAAAAATCTGTTCATTGAAACTTTGTCAATATCAAAATCCTTCCTGATCTCATCATTCATTGTGTTTATACCAAGATTCATCCACACTTGTTGAAAATTGAAGGCTCTTAATGAAATAATGTTGACAGATACAAGAGCATCTGTAATACACATCCATTCTTCCATGTAGAAGTATAAACTTGATATTTATTACTTACCAATAAACGAGTTTTGGTAGAAGTATTATCATCCTGATTGGTTGTAGATAAACTATAATTACCCAACCTGGACTTGGAGCCATTTATAAAGTTATCTATGTGGGATGTTCCAATTTTCTCTATTGAAGCCTGTTGTAACAGTCCAGACATAGAAACCTCTTCTTTAGTTGATAGATTTTCCAATTTAAAATCTTTTTTTGCACTATATCGAGATGTAGTTGTTGGTCTGATCAAAGAATCCCTAAAATTTTCTATAGACAGTTCCTTTTTGGTTGAAGAGGAAGAAACCCTTTTATTTAAATCTTTAGAGTCTGTAGCTTGATCACACTTTTGTTTTCTACCTTTAGAAGATAAAGGGGGTCGCAATGAATCAAAATTATATTCTCTCCTTCTAGCTGAAGAGCTGAGATAATGTCTAGAGGTGCTGGGATCAGTTAAACTATTTAATCTATACAAGTCTCTTTTAATAGATGCTCCACCCCCTCCCCCAGAGGCTGAGCTAGAATCTGATCCCACACCTGCTGCCACCTCAGCACTGATTCTTCCTTGATCACAGACACTTGTATCTTCCTTCACACTATCTAACTGGGGAGGATTTAACTTCGTTTCTAAAGTATCAAGGGTATCTAAGGTAGTTGTTAAAGAACCTAATGCTATTTCGGCAACTGGTTCTGAATCCATGGAAGAAAGAAGTTGGCTATTGCCAGTAGTACTCTGTTCCAGTTCAGTGGTTCCCTGAGCTTGGAATGACTGGCCTACTGGTGGTAAACAAGTGTTTTTATTTAATGTTTTACTGACAGGGCGAACTTGGCCACTCAATTGTTTTAAACGAACTTTACTGGCTGATTGAGTGGACACTCCTGAAGCACTTGGAGGCGGTTTTGGCAATTTGTGCTGAAAAATAAAAAAATTAACTGATGAAAGTTTTTTGATCAAATGCTTTCTCCATCACTTAATTAAATATTCAATAAATACACCTTTAGCTCTGTGGATCCCTTGAAAAAAGGCTGACGCTTAACATCCAGTAGGCACTAAGTGTAGTTGGAAAGTGATCACGCCATGCTCTGTGACCAACACAGGCCTAATAGAAATAATAAATAATATGGCTTCCAAACATTCTGTTTATGACAATCATTACTCAATCTCTGATACAAACATCTGGAATGATGAGGAACATAATGTTCAGCATAGGACTTTTAAACACTGTCAAAAAACAAAAGTAGCATACGATTTACCTTCTTTGTAAGACTGAGTTTTTCCATGTTTTCTCTTAGCTGTATCATCTTATCTTTGAGAACAGTATTTTCTGTTGAAAGACCAGATTCATTATTGTCTTCTTCATCTTCCTCTTCAGCATAATTATAACCAGTTACGCTAAATAGTTAACAAGGAGGTGAATGCAAAGATACCTAATTCAACTTTTTTTGTAGCATGTACCTAATTCAACTTTTTTTGTAGCATGCAGTAAGATGGAAATCAGAAATAATTGAAGACATAAATAGCCTTGTATAAATTGAAGTGACCCTAAAGGGATTGTAAAGAGGTTTTTTTTAAATTTTATGTGTACTGGGGACATTGTTAGCATCGATTTGCACTATTCCAATTTTCAATCAGACATCTTTAGTTCCTGCAATTCCACTACAATTAAGTGTTAGATGACATTTTCCAACTGAAAATTGGAATGGTCAAAATCGATGCAATCAGTGTCCCCTATGCACTGAAAAAATAAGAAAATCTCCTTACAATCCCTATTACTTATGGTATTTATAACACATAAATGATGAACCAATATAATTTTGCTGGCATTTACATAGCAAAGTTTCGACTTCCGAAGACAAGAGAAGGTGAAAATACTGTCAGTCCTTACATAGACCATTATTTCTTTGAATAGTTTGTGAGAAGTTTCACAAGAGTTAAACCTAAAATCTATCAGTCCTGCACATTTTAAGATTTCGCAAATGTTTTGTAGTTCTAAATAGTTTTAACAAGATTGTCTGACTGCACTTGAACAAGAAACAATAGGATACTATGTATGAAATCATGCATACTTACCTCAAAGATTCAGACAAAGGGGTCAAAGTACCATCTCCTCGATCAACTACACGAAAAAAATTGAGCTGATCTCCATCTCGAAATACTAAGAGAGTAACTTGACGATTGCCTGGAAGTTTTTCTAAAATTTCGTCTTTATTTGCCTCCATATATTCAGCCATTTCTCTTAATGCAGTGTCCTCCATTGGAACTGAAAATACAAACAGTGACCTTGTTAAAATAATAGGTGGTGAAATACATCTGGCACAGAAGTGGATATAAACAATAGTTTATTTTACTACAGCTGGTTCTACATCAGTGAGATCTGACCATGAACTAAAGATGTATCAAACAGCAGGGATTTCGGAAATAAGTCCAGTTTTGGGTTTTGAATTTGCTTATCTAAAAACAACAACCAATTCATTGCTTGCATATATTCAATGAGAATAACATGGTCATTGATACAATTAAGTGTAGGTACTTACTTCTCCTAGTGTTGATAGGGCCACCACGCATCGCTAGAACTAGCTTCAGGGTGGCGCCACTTAGTATACCATAGTCATGAAGACAATAGTCATCCTCAAGTTCTATTGACTGCCAGATTAGATGTTGATGTGTAACCGGAATACCTAGAACAAATTTAATATTAAGAATATCAAAATACAACAAGTGGTTGCCTAGCAAGATATGCCCACTTTCCTGATACATTTTCAGTATATCCATTCAGTCAAATCATATCAAAAATTTAATTTGTAAACACAAAATTTAAAAAATTCTGACATAAAATATCAGCTCTAACGAATATTGATGCATTTGAACTAAGTCAGGAGCAATTACTCAAATTCCATTGATCGAAAAATTGTCAGATTCGACCTTGTCCAAGATCTCATCAATATAAATCATCACACCAAATTTCTTTACAATCAAATTAAACTGTAGTCTCTATTACCGACGACAATATACGCCCACATTATAATTTTAGCGTATAAAAACTAAAAAAACCAACACTATATCCTTTGTGAGTCATTTTCTATTTTCTCCTTCCCTGGTAATTTTGCCCATGACACTAATAAGTCCAATGTCACACCATACCATGTTTAACTGGTTTTCACATTACAATTTGATAAATCACATTGACACAAATTAACATGTACACAGACAAAAATATTAGACTAGACTAGGGCTGGGTGAAATGATCGAAATAATCGATTAATGTTGCTACGAATATGATTTTGATTATTGATTATCAAATTTCATAATCGATTATATGTCAAATTTACACATTCTCCACTGTAAACATTAACAGTAGTACCGTAATCTGTTCAACATAGATTCCATTCAGCACATAACTTACCCACAGTAAGCTATAATAACCGATCAAAGCGGGAATATGCTTCTAATAGGCAAAAATAACCCATGAAATTAAGAATTTTGGCATGTCTTTAATTAAGTATACAGCCACAGGGTGTCTCAATTAAATTATTGTGATTATTAATCGTCTTAGCCTTATTGATCGGAAGTCTGCCATAGATAATCAATCTCAATTTTGTATTCGATACCCAGCCAGAGTCTAGACCTAAGGGATTGCTGAACTTTGTGTGAAATTTTACAAGGATGAAGCCAAGGACTCAAAGAGGGATGATTTTGGCTAGAACCTTATCATTTAGTGGCCAAATTTTGTAAAAATTACAAGAAGAGAGATTAGGCCCCTCAGTTAAGAGCCCTTGGTTGATCCATCTCAATTTTGCTTTGTAATGTTGTTATTACGTTTTTATAATAACAATACTGATAGTTATTTATAGCCAAGAATTAAATAGTTTAGGGAAAGGAAGGGTTGGTTGTTTATACTTGCCTTCCAGTCTTTGTATCTTCGTTTTAACAGACAAAACTGTCTCGAAAGGTGAAACACGAAGTTCAAAGGCTGTACCAGTAAGGGTTTCAATAAACAGTTCCATCGTAGGGAGGTGTCCGAAAGCTATTTTGACGGTATAAAAATCGGAAATCCTCCCTACATGAACGTATTTACATTATTTTGCAGCGCCACCACGTCCAGATTGGCTTTGTCCGAATCAAACTAAAAAAACAAGGCTATCAATCAGGTTACAGCCATCACTTTTAGAATATCTCTACTTCTAAGTATCCATCAAAATCGTTTTAGAAAACTGTTAACAAAAATATAAAATTCAATCCATAAGAAATAAAATATCAGTAAATATAAATAAGTAGGTTACGCCTCCACTTTGTTCGGGAAAATATGGTTGCTCTTTGGAATTCAGTGAAAACCCGGATGTTGTAGCCACTGACAACATTTACGACCTTCACCTTTTAGTTCCAGTTCGTACACAATTTGGACACTTCGTAACATAATTTCACCACTGCTGCCCTTGTCTACGACTTGTGATACATCAGAGATTGTTGTTCGCGTCACCTAAGGTAGACTTTGAAATTTATATAAATACAGCCTCATTGTCTTGAAAATAAACCTGAGGTCATTTAATAGCCTAATGCGCGCGCATTTTCATTGTTGAGCCTTGTTGAGCTTGAGAGCTGGGGGCTTATCGAGGACAGGATTTATTTAATCCTTATTATCCTCAATAAATTAACACCTAGTTCATTATACTAGGCCTATATATCTAGTATTGTCTACTTTTAACACACTGGGCAATTGTAGGGTAGGCTACACGGCGTAAGATCTCCGATTGTGCCTGTGGCATAGCTGTGGGCATTATATTACCGTAATCCGTATACTTATTGCCTAATATAAAGCACTTTGGCACTGAGTAAAGGGAGCAATATCATTGGTGCAGAACACAAATATATTTAACAACAGTTCCAATGTACTGAAATATATAAGTTTCAACGGGACAAAATTCTTTTCATGAGCAGTTAATGTAATTCTGTTTACCTTAGGCTATTTCAGCCCAGTTGTAAGGGTAAGGTCCGGGCCTCAGCAAGTAAGAACTAAGCCCCAGCAAAACCTTATGTAGTTCAGCAGAGATTGATTTATTTACAGTGTCTCTGTACAAAATAAAAAATATGGAGATTTTTATACGTTTTTGGCACCTCAAAGTAGTCAGTAATGAGTTCTATGGGCCTTAAATTCTTAACATTTTCTGAGTACAAAATCTGAGCCACAGCACCAATTCATTCCTGGCGACAAGGCTGGTCTATTTATTGCCTTTTTGGTCACAATTCTTCAAATATAAATTTGAACAATATCCCATACAAATTTGAAATGTAATAAACAAAGTCATGATTAATTTGCTTTATTAAAATGGCACAAGATTCTTCCATTCAAGCAACTCATATTGCAAATCACATACATAATCTATAATATCATTATAATATTATATATATACAGACTTTATACAAGGTTATAGTGTTAACAATAGATCATATATACATTTATAGTAACAATATTAGCAATAACAAATCACACAGGTTAAAAATACACTTTTTTCATTTCTTTATATAAATATCATTTCATCTATTATACTTCTGCTGTGGTTTTCAATACCACTTTGAGAAGGAAACTATTCAAATGTCACAGACTAAGAGATTTTTTTCTTCTAAGAGGGAAATTGACCCTCACACAATTTAATCCACACTAGGCTCGATTTAATTTGAATAAACTCCATTTTCAAAAGCTCAAAAATATTAACGAAATAGTTTTATGCTATTAAAAACTACCACTTTTGTTCCTACAAAAAGTGACAAATATATCGATATTGGTAGCCTTCATCAATTCTGCTGGTTATTATGTATTTAAGAATTGGACACAATTACATTCATCAAAGATTGAAGGTCAAGACAAATTTACTCTTGTTAATAAAGTGTTCTATGTAATAACAATTTTTCCCATTCTCTGACATGCGCTATCATTTATTGCTCAGATATCAAATGAATAGTTTTAAAATGGACACAGAAATATCACAATAATATCAAAATAGTGCATAAATAATGAACATCAAACCATGACAAAATAAATAAAAGAATTATGAATTATTTCAGTGCGTGAATCAAAATTTGTTGCTCAAGATTTGTTTAGAATTGGAGAGAAAAAATAATAGATACTGTGTATTCCTTTATCGAAATAAATTCCAGATCAGCAACCATGGTTCTGAACATCTTTGGCAGCTCAGTTAGTAGCTAATAAATTGATAAGTAATTGTGTGTTTGAATCCTCTCAATTGATCAAAATATTTTAATTCTCAGTGCATTCGAGAGTTGGACCTGTATGGCCTTCAACCCCAATCAAAGGTTTGATGTACCTTATTTATGCTCATTATTACAATACAATGTCCTTATCAATCATAGACATTATTAAATCAAGAGACAGAATAAACTTAATACAAAAATATAATCACAAAGCTGGATGGAGAATTAAGATTCAAATATCAATTGTTATCTCCTATAATTTGTATGGTAAGTCTTATGTGCAGCGTTTTTAACTGCAAGGAAACAAAGAATTTGGTTTCAAAACTTGGGATATATAACAAAAGCAAAACCTATTAGTAAGTTACTTTAATCTTTGTTCTGTGACCACCCGAAAAAGAATTTCACTTGTTCATTGGACCTACTAGATTGTTACTATCTGAACAGCTACTTTGGAAATAGGTGAGAAAATTTCAATAAGACTAGGGAGTTGAGTAACAATATCAAGGATATGTTTAAATGTTGGTTTATTTGATTTTTGTTTGCTAATTTTAGTCTGGCAAGTATAACCCAACAACATATATATTAAGGTTTCAACATCTCTGCTCATGATGTTCGTGGCTGAACAAATTAATAAAACACCCTTGTAACAAAACGAGCTGATCATAACCTAATGTAGAGTTTATATGCTCAGCAGATGTTAGCCAGCTAGAGTAAGTAAAACTAACAGGACCTATCTGCGGCATATTTACGAAATGCTTTTTTACCTTCATATTCTACAGTTTGTACAGTTGAAGTTGTAATAAAAATATCTAAAGATAAGTATGGTAATGTGCCTGCACATTGAGTTTGTTGGAAGAAAAAGAACAGTAGAAAAAGTGCAATTAAAAATATGAAAGAACTGATTCTATATACAACTACCAAACAAATTTAGAACAGTTTTACTATATATCTAATAAGCTACTGGCACTCAAAAATTTCCAAAATATATACCAAATGCTTTCCAATATTTCCAGATAATGCTAACACAACAACCACAGAGGATGATCTACCTATCACGCTATATATTTTTATACCAATTATTATTTTCTTAAACAATTTTATATAATATGAGCTCAAGTTAAAGCTATCTGATGTTTTTAAAAGAGGCACGATGGGATACAACTTTATTATGGTAAAACACAGTGAACTATCAAGATCGTCTTAGGTTGGCTGTGTTATATAAGGTATATTTAGAAAGCTGGTCAACAATCACTTAAATTGATAAAATGACATACTAATAGACAATCAGGGTACACAAATCTAGGGAAAGAGTAAAAATGAAATAAAAGTCCTGAAAAATCCAGGAAACCCCCACAAGAATCCAGGTACAAGCGCTTCTACAACATCAAGATGAACCTAAGAGATAAAAAAATAAAAAACAAAATTTAAACAAAAATAATAAATGAAAGCAGCAAGTTTATGCACGAATTGTCATAAAGTTATCACATGTAATGTAACAATACACCACTCAATGTTGATATTTTATACACATATAAAGCAATTGTAATATCCAGCATGCTCACAACTGTTCTTGTTTTTAAAGTTATACAGTCATCACAATCAGTTTACAAACAGAGGCCAAGTTGAGCCTAAGCACTTTATCAAATGAAAATCTGGTGTTAAATAATTGAATTGAAAATCTGTCATTCAAATTTGTTTCCATTCAAAAAAAAGATTTGGAGAATTGAGGGCTTATATTACACACTCTAGCTACAATAATTTCTCTGTATTCAATTGTAGACAAGAATGATGTCATATTTGTCAATGTGAATTATGAGTATTACAGAAAATTGAAATTTCAGTTGCAGCTAGTAAACCAAACAATTGATAACTATATCACTTCAAGTTGTATCCAATAATAAAGTGAATAATAACACAATAAAATCACATTTATCAAACAAGCATTTTAAGTACAGCAGTCTAAAATTTTGTCAGTGTCAAAAAAGACAATAAAATAAAAGCATTATAAAGCAGCAGCTATAAGATAAGGGGTGTAAAGAAATAAGGGATACAAATAGGGTTCTGAGAGATCAGAGAAAAACACTACGCACAAATTAATCACAAAATTTAATTTACAAACACTAATAAAACAATAACTATTGCCCAATGTCACTGATTGATATTTGCTTACTTATTTATGCACAACAGACTAGATGAAGAGTAATTATGCACAGAATATAAAAATCAACTATAATATGTTAAAGAAATGTCGTTAAAGATCAAAATTGACATAGCAAATGATCGTTTTGAATTCATTTGAATCAGAAATGGCAAAAAAGTCAATACAATATGATTTTAAATCAATTCCAAAATCAAAAGCAGAAAATGTAAGAATATAAAGGTTTGGTTATTTGTTGAATACTAATGAAGATATTGTAAATGCATAGAAAATTAGATGAGTTAAGGCCCAATAAGTTTGTGTTAAAACATTAAGGCAAATCTGCAGCTTATTATGAAGCAAAGAATGAAAAATTGAAAAAAGTAAAATATCACAACAATTGAAAACTATGAATTAATATCATTCTAGATCTATCTAACTATAAACTTATGTGCAGAAAAACAGAACAACGAAAAGACCTATATCATATAATATATGAACCTGGGTATAGTTAAGATATCAGATAGGTCAATCACGTTACAGCAATACTTCTGACAACTGGCTACTGGGGCTTGTCACAGTAATATCTAATTTTTATCAAATTTCCAAAATATTTGAGCTGAATGAAACAGGCCTAAAAATTCATCGAAATCAAGGAGAATCCTGATGGACTCACCCGAAAGCAGTTCGAGAGTCTTCCAAATGCTGAACTAAACATTTAAATACCGTAATAGTTCTGAATGAATTCTCATTTTTTAGTGCCGGTCATTTTCTTCTTTTTTAAGAAAAGTGTTTAAAATTTTCATAACCTGTATAGGCGAAAGCGCTGTAAACCGAGCGTTCCCTGGGACGCTACGTGCAGTCAAGGATTCAGGTTTTCAAATGTAAAATATACACTGTATTGACAGACAAATTGAAATGATTTCACAAGAATCCAACAAGACTCTGGCAGTCAGCATTTATGGGAGTATTGGCGCGAATAGGATTCAGAGACTCACATGAATTTTTAGACCTGATGAAATAAACTGTTTCCAAAATACAATTTTAAGACCAAATGATTATACCTGTTGAATTTCTGTAATGTTACAATCAGCAGGAAAAATACTAAGAGATGAATAATTTAGACTATTTATAAATTTATGTAGTGTAGCCAGAATATTTGGTTGAGAAAGGGTTTGTGATAAGTGGTATTGAGGCATTGTGAATTTCAGTGAGATGTAAATTAGGATTAGTCAATGATTATGACAATAACATAATTCCTGACCATTATGATGGTGAGGAGTAGGCGTACCTATTCTTGGCATTTCACAGCATTCACATTTGTTGAGAGCAGGGTGATTCAGGAAAGTACAGGCTGTACAATTCCATTGCTCTCCTTCCTCAGAGTCACCAGATCCAGATTGGGGCTGTCTTGGTGGAACAGGGGGAACTATGTCTAAAGGTGATCTTGGTGGGGGGTTTACTGAAACAAACAGGTTCAATTCATTAATAACTCAGTCAAAAACCGATATTATCTGACATTTGAAATAATCTAATATATCCTCCAGAACCATTGTAATGCAAGTCTGTGAGAAAAACAGTAAACTACTACTAGTCTACTGTCTACTAGTTTCCAACATCTAGCCTTGTACAACAGTACTACAGATAAGCAATATCTCTTTGATATTGAGCTGTGTCATTGAGTGTGCAAAGAGGAAATGCCTGTTCAATTTATATACTCTTACCTCGTCTGCATACTGAGCTTATAGAAGGAAGTGGTGGTAAAGGAGGAGCAACAGAAGAAGAAGGGGAAGAGGCTGATGTAACTGGTCGACCAATAGAACCAGCTGGACCTGTTGGCATATTATCAAAGAAATTCTGTTGATCTACTGGATCTACCAGACTATTCATTCCTGGAAATAAAATACATTTCACATTAGTGTATGCTAAATATCCATTTTAAAATAGCATGATTTCTGTTTGTGCAGAGATATCCATAATAATCTGTTTATTGCAAACAATCTGAAGTTTATATTCTTTAAAATTTGACGACTTACACAGCTTTTACATTTGCAACAGATGACAATTGGGTGCAATTATATTATATTGTATATATAGGAAATATACACTAGCTTTCAACTGGTTTGAACCACAATGCTTTACAACTTCTAATTTATTTTTTACCGTAATGTTCAATACTAACTCTGCTTTTAGACTGTTACATAGATATATCAAAATACACCATATAAATTGGTGTCTACTTCCACCTTAATTATTGCTTGTTTCTCCTTTATAAGAGCAAACCGAACTAAAAATCAAAATATTGCAAGCTAATGAACAAATATCTGGTTACCTGGACCATTCTTCTTCATGTCAATTTCATTTCCCATACATTGTATATCAGTCTGTAATCGCCGATTTATTTCACGTAATTTAGTCACATCATTTATCTGAAATCAAGATCAGGCATGTTTACTACAATGGACTTTAAAACAAATTATATAACCATGAATAGAACACATGCCTTCTTACACTTGGTGAAATATAGGAAAATTTATTATACTGTAAATTAAATGCCCCACTCGCCTCCGTATATAAGAAGGTAGAGAGAAATATCTGCTTCTCTGGGCCTAGTGAGATTGTATAGATATCTAATAATTCAGGGTGCAATATATTCTCATACTACAAAACAAGAAAGCTGTCTTGAGTATGTTTAAGTGAATAGTGATCTAAACAATAATAACTATACCATAATCAATTCATCTCAATCCTATCTTAATTACAGACTTAACAGTACTTACAGTTGGAAAACTATTTCTTCTACTGTTCTCTATCATATTTTCTTCCATTTGAGCAACCTCTTGTCGTAACTTTGAAGTTTCCTTTAGGGTCTTATTATAATCACTTTTTAAATTACCTAATCTTGTATTCTGATGATGTAATAAGGCTGAAACAGGGCATCAAAAATTAGTTATAAAAATAAGCTACATGCATTTCTAACTTTTATATGGAATAAAGACTGTTAAGTGTTGATTGTGTTTTTTTCCAAATAATATAGGGTATAACAGCCTAAATACATGCCAACTCATATTACTGTCATTTCAGTTTTAGATGGATCATGAATGTCCAACGTAGAATGTGAAGGGATATTCAAAGATAATTGAGTTGATCCCATGAAAATTACTAGAACATATTTGGTTCATTATAAGTATCCAACTAATAGAGCCCTAATTTTATACCATACATAAATTTACATGAACAAATTCTGGATACATTACTAAATAGTTGCCTAGCAAGAGACAATCTCAACATTTAAATGCCAAGTGCTTGGCATTGTACCTATTTCTTACATGTGTATGCATGAATATAAATGACATAAAATAGCACTATCTTGTCTGAAACCACATCGGAAATAATTTTGGAAGGAAATTCTACATAGATTACAGCTTACAAAAAAATTATTCAAAATAAATTTTGTGTAAAATCAAATACAACTACGTAATAAAATAATATTTATTATATTTTGTCTGACATGCTTGTAATCAAAACAATACCCACAGTTTGAAGACAAAGATTCTACAGTGAAACATTTACCTTTGAGATAATCTTGATCCTCTGTTCCGTTACCACTGACAGGTTTGGACAGACCTTGCACTAAGTGAACTGAAGATTCTGAACTTAAACTACTGTGACTAGAAGCTGGTGACATGGGGTGATAAATACCAGGATGATTGATATCTCCTGTACATAAATTATATGCATTACTAGTACCATGATCAGAATCCTCACTATTAGTACGACTACTTGCCGAAAACGGTCTACCACCATAAGGAGGTAACTGTACATATGTTGTCATGTTTTGACTTGAATTTCCAGGACTTTGATTCATTGGGGAAATCTGTATTCGCGAAGCCCCAGAGTATGTTGGCTGTTGTATGTGACGGCTAGTGTTTGGATTTGCAAACATAGACTGATTGTCCCGATTAAAATTATAACGCACTTGAGTCTCCGATCCTTCAGGACCCGTTGACTTTATTTTCACAAACAATGGCTTACTAAAGTTTGGTGTTATGTTAGGGGAACAATGCATATGGTTACCATTCCCTTCAATGTCGCTAGGTTGCACAATTTTATTTTGTAGATCTCCATAGTTGAGTTGAGGCCTAAAATTATTTGGTCTCGTAGGAGAGTCAAAAGAATTACTTGCTGGCTGATTTATCATTATTTTTGTCTTAGAAGCAAACTGACTAGGGGAATTTGGTGATTGTGCACTCAGTACTGTAGGTGTAATATTATAAGAATAAGTATGTGAATGTTGAGGCTGAGTAACTGTATTAGTTCCACTGCCTGCACTATGTATCTGATAAGATGTGTTCACGGACTGTGCACTATCAGATTTGGATGGAACGTGTATCACTGGCACTGGACGTTTTCCCACCACTGGACTTGTCTTATTACCATAAACATTATTCACTTCAAATTTTTTCACAGTTTGAGACACACTTTGGGAACTATTATCCACAGTACAGTTTATATTGGGAATTGATCCAGGTTGACTGTTTGCTCTTCCTAAATAACTTTCGAAGTCATTTGGCATAACAGCAGCTGTATATCCTGGCTGGGGTGAGGAAGTAATTGTTGAATTTCCCGTTGAAGGCCAAGCTAATGTAGGATAGCTACCACCATCTGATCTCTGATTCACTAACATTGGTGATTTATTTTCCTTTCTTTTTGAGATTGTCAAATTGTTTATCTGATTAATGACTGTGCCAGGTTTTATATCTACTGTGTTACCACTACCAAACAGGTTTTGTTGACTTCTTTCTTTCAATACCTTAATCACTTCATCTCTATTATTACCAGTCTAAAATTAATTTGTAAAAAATATCTACATCTTGAAAAAATAGTGTTCACTGTGACTCATCATTAAACAGGGACTATTTGGGAATATCTCACAATATAAGACCGGTAAGCCATTTCGTGAAGTTGAATTGGTCTTGAATATGTAATTAGTCTTCAGAAGTGAGCTTACTAGAAATGTAGGATAATTGCAAAATTACTTCAAAAATACCTCAAACATGGATTTTCACTTTCTATTTCTATGTGCGTCTTTTCTATATATGATATTGTCTCAAGAAAAGACATGGCCTCCTTTTAAAGCTGATAATCAATAGTCTCACAGACTAAGATTCAATTGGTCAAATGGATGATGATCCTTTTAAATTGATATCAAAAGGTATAAAATTTGTTCTCCTAACATTTCGATAGGGTAATAAACAAATGATTTTAACATGTTCTTCAAACAGGGATAACATCTTCTTACTTCTATGGATAACTGTGAACAACATGAAAACAGAAGATTGTCTTAATCATCTTGATCTACCCAGGTCATATAGGATGGCCACATCTACACCTCGGAAACATGACTTAAGGTATCATTTTCACACAAGCTACACAAAAAAACCCCACCCCACAGCTCTGTTTCCCATGTATCAATTTACATACCTTTCTTAATTGTAGCGAGACAAAGTCTGTAGGTATTTCAGGATATTTTTCTGTCAACTCTTTAAAGAGTTGAACATTTATATTAGTATCTTGTTCTTGACCCGCCATATTCTTTTATTTTCATGCTGTAAAAAAAATGTCAAAGAATAATAAAAACTCTTATATTGTTTTAAAGGGGCAGTATGCAAAATTTTCATGGTTAATTAAGCAATTTCAACTTTTTCTGGTGTTGGCCCTTATAACATCTCAATATCTTTTGTTGAATCCCTTCAGGATTAGAAGGAGAGATATTAAAATTTCTGTAACATGAATACAAGATTCAAAATATTTCTCTAAACCAGATTTATTTTCAGCTTTCCACAAAAAGTATTCTGACTTGCAATAGCATAATAAGTATTCAATCAAAGATATTTCACCGGGTCTAAATTGGCCACAAAATGATACATAACGCCATACAAGGGTCACAATACGTATCACAACTAAGGGTAATGTGATAAAAATTACCAGGTCAGCCACGAAGTTTCAATTTTTATTCATTTTTGACTTTATAACTGTGATATTTGAGAATGGTTAAGGTCAACCATCATATAAATACAATATGTAGTTTCAAACAATTTCATCAAATCAGAGAGAAAATTTTGTGATTCCATTCCCTACTTTTCATGGAACGAGAGGTATTGTCAAGTATCAGCACTAATATGCTCTAGCTCTGACAAATAGATGGTAAAACAACAATACAACAGGTATTCCATAAACAGATAAAATATCACTCATCAATATCCATTTATTACTGTAGTTGCTCTTTCAATGATTTTTAATATACATGTATTTAAGACTGGGTGAACTGGAATAATGAGGAAAACAACAAGAAAATGCTGTCAAAAGATTTCTGTTACTGGGTTTCATAACTGATTGAGCATGTACACTTTATCCAGAAGTTGATTTAAATTCTAAAATTGCATGTATAAGCTTACTTAAGCAAGTTTTTCAGAGCTACGAGTGACAAAATGGAACAGTTTTTTTTTAATTTCAAAAATATAATCATAACTTTATTATCAATCAATTATTACAGCATAATATAATCAATTGCAATATTAAAATGTTATGTTGTCCAAGACAAAATTTCACTGTTTTTGAATTGAAATACATTTTTACGAAAGAGCAATAATACTATTATTGTATCAAATCTTTGACCCTATATAGCAACATCAAAGATATATGGGCCCTTAAAAAACACAATGTCAAGCTTTACTTCATAAGCCACTTTTCTAGTATCACTGAAGTTTGTAAGTATGATAGCAAACACAGCCAATTTGACTCCTTGATAGAAAGTCTTTAAGCAATAAGTCATTATGTATACAGTTTTTCTGCGATGGCTCTCTTTGGCTATATTCACTAGCATACAATCCAATAAAATCACTGCATTTCGTGATACAAAAAAAGTGCCTACTATTATTAGTGACATGGAATTATTAGACAAAGTTGTAATAGCTCGACATAGTGAAGATAATATGATAGTCCATCTGTACAAGACCAAGAATTGATGAGCAATAATGTCTGTACAAAGTTTCTACATAAGACTTTAGCTCCTGAACAATGTCTCAAATCTTGTGAACCCACTTGTTTGAAATTGTTTCTGAGATATTCAATTGTCAGTAGAGAAGGCTAATGTCAGAGTGAACATGTCTTTACTACAAACATATCAGCAACATTTCACCCCAATAAGATTTTTTGAATAAGTAACACCTCTCATAAAAGAGCAAAAACTTTGCATACAAATGAATAGAAACATGGCTGTCGAGGAAACATGGCTATCGAGGTAACATCCTACTTCTACCAGGAACAAACCTGGAGGTAGGTGAAAAGATGTTGCAGCTGAAGTAAGGAAGGTGTAAAAAGTTTGGGATGTCAAAACAGAATACTTAAAATGTCGATCGAAACAACTGCCAAGGCTTAATGAAGCAGCTTTCTGTAAATAAAAAGAAAACGGAAAGAAATCAGCAACATGTCATACCCATTGCCAAACTAAAATCACCAAATAATGCCAAAATAAAACAATTAGAAACTTGAATACAGCAACAAAATTTCCATTTCCTCTCAGCAAAATATGGCGACTTGCGCATGCGTATAACTGTTTTTGCGAGTCTTGTAGTTCAAGAAACAACTCATGACAATCAAGACTATATTTATGGTTTATCCATTAAAGGGAAGCAACTGCAAATCTAAATAAACAGATAAACTACAAATAACTTCTTCAATTTAATTCAGAGCCGTATATAGAATACGGCTCTGCTTTAATTCAGAGCCGTATATAGAGAGAGTCAGGCCAACTACGTTACACGGCGCCATCTTGTTACCCTCTCTTAGATACAAGACGGCCGACGTTATCCCTCGTAAACGCTCTAGAATTTACAGTTTTTAACCGATTTTGATAAAATTTGGTATGTCTATACAAAAACACAAAAAGAAGATAAATTTTGAATTTTAGCACTTTCCAAAAATTAACCCCCGAATTATTAAACCTGTAATCTTCCATATTAAAATAGGGCCTAGCTGTATATTCTACAGCTTTATGGAACAATAGGCTAATTACTAGTTATAGTTTATGCAACATATTGGTAAGTAATATAATGTATAATATAATGCATATTGTTTTTGATCAATAGGCCCATGTGCCTGACGACAGTTGGAGACTGTCAAAACAGTGCATAAACTATAACCAATGATTGATGTTACATAAAGCTTTAGAATATAGTGAAGTTACTATAATGGACTGAACTCAGTCTTTGCCGAAGAAATTTAGTCATCATGAAAATTGCCCAAAGCAAAATGTGCACTATGAATCAGTGAGTTGAGTCGACTCGGGGTTAACTCAGACTTACCTCTGGGTGTTCCCATTTCTAGTTTCGTTTTTCACACGTGTTTTTTTTGCGCGATTTTGCAAACTTTGTGCTTCTTCGTGGGCTCGGTACTGCTCGCTGGACGTCGATCATGATTCTCGCCCCTCTCTTGCACACCGATTACTTGAATAAATGGCACAAAAATCATCACGAAATCTTCACTTGACTTTTTCAACTCGATTTCAACTCAACGCGGGATTTGACCTGCGCTTCAAGCTAACCCCTTAGGTGTTAACTAACACCAACTGGAATTCACGTTGATTGTGGGCTCCGAGAGTTGTTCATCCAGGTTGTATCGAGTACAGATATCATTTGCTGCTGAATTCTATGATTGACACATTGATGAAACTATTCCTCTGCTCGAATTTTGGCGTGGGAAAAACGATAGGTCAGGTTAACTCAACTAAAAAATCGACTCAATCCTGAATTTCGGGGATAACCCCGAGTTGAACCCTCGGTTAACCCTCGGTTAACTAACTCAAAAACGGGAGGTCAAATCTCAGGTTGAAATGGGGGTTGAGTCAATTAACTGGGGTAAACCCCAGGGTTAACTCAATCCTAACTCAACATTTGACCTCACCCATTGGGTTCCTCGCTTTCTAATGGAATGAAGGCAATATCCACCCAGATGGTACAAGCTGGCTTCCTCTGACGTACTGAGCGAACTTAGCTCCAATATTTCATCCGGGATCATTTCGTTGTCAACATCGTCCCTGGATCTCTGAGGTTTTTGTAAGAAATAGGCCAAGAATTCTCTGTCATCCTCCTGATAACTACTGCCAGAGGGACATCTCATATATTGGGCTGTAGAAATTATTTTCAGCGACTGACGATCATGGTTCAGCGCGGTGAGATCAGAAGTTGGCCAGACTCTCTCTATATATATACGGCTCTGATTTAATTCAGATGATTTAATTTAATAATTCAAATTGTTTTTTTTTTTTTTGATTTTCTTTTTGAATCGCTCACTTTGATCCATATTTCTTGAGTAACCAACTCGACAATGGCTGCTAAATGCGTCACCTATTTTCGTGTACAATGTTTGATCTATAAATAAGTCTAGAAAAACACATTGTATGGATACCGGGTGGTATAATTAACTTCTCTTAGTATTTATCTTTAATAATATTTCATTATAACTAATAACAATTCCTTCAAAGAACAAGGATTTAAACAAAAAATAGTGACTGACAAAATAATATAAGTAAAATGTAAGAGTGATTTATTGCTAAAAGTCATTGAAACAATATAAGAATACGGCCCCCATTGTGTTCCATAGAATGTTTCTATTCATTGGACTACATTCTAGCAGACGACACTTAGAATTCCGATTACAGCTTGGGATTATACTACATAAGGAAATTCGTCCGATAAAAAATTATGATATTTGATTATGCGATTTGTAATGGCTTTATCAATTTCATGTGTCACGAACTGTGACAGTCTGATCTTTCGTTCAGATACGGTCACGGACACGAAGATCAATCCCAATGATTTGGAACCACAATTAGATACGACCATTAACGCCTCTATCGAATCTAATATTTGGCCAGTGTCATAATCTGCAAGAAGTTGGACACGACGGTCAAAGTCAAGGCGGTTAATTATATTTAAAATATAAAATTGCCCCGAAGTATGAAAATAATTGGAACGTGAATCTTTCTTGAGGAGGGAGGGATTGTCCTAGATCATGTAGGCCTAATCTTTCACCCAGGAACCCCGTAAAAGGGACAGGTTTGCCATTTTAGGACGTTGATTTCAGTCTTGAATATATGTAAATAGTCCTTAGTAGTACTAAAAACGTATGAAAATCGCATTTAATTCCTTCAAAATATAGCTCAAACTGCGAATTCCACTTGCTATTTCTATGTGTATTTCAAATTCAGGTAGCTGTGACACTATTACTGATTAGCTTAGCTAAAACAATACTGTTTCTGAGACTAAGGTACGATTGGTCCAAACGGATGGCGAACTGTTCCTTTAAGAGATCCGAGCCGAGTCTAAACTGCGTATCCGCGTTTGATTGTCAAGGGTTTTTTTCACAATTCAATGAGATTATTCAGATTTGTGCACTGTCGAGCAATGGAAAAAATTTCGCTTTTCATGTGCAGTTTACCGCATCTTTTGCTTTTGCTAGCAATGGACGATTTATCTTTTTACGTTTCACATGGAAGGGTATTCACTATGTATTTAATGACGATGAAGAAT